GGAGCGGCGGGGCGAACAGTCCTTCCAGGATTGGAAGCAGCAACAACCACTTGTGGCCACACGGGTCCTGGCCAGAATGTGTCTGGTGTGAAGCTCGAGCACCGGGCGACCCCTAAGTGGCAATTCCTGCCGCCCGGGGAGCGTGTGGGGGGGTTGAAGCTCACGGCGGATGCGGAGGATGAGGAGATCGATGCCGACGCCTCAAAGGGTCAGCCGCCACACACACAACAGACACACGGTGCTTGCGCCTCTCTCTCACGTGTGTCTGTGTGTGTGTGTGATGTGTGCAACGCAGCTGCGGGGGCCGGTGCGGCCGTGACGACCACGCGCAAGGCCAACAGCAACGCCTTCGACGTGAAGGATGTGGCGGGCGAGCCAAAACACGGTACGCCACACCACACACACATGGACAGATGGCTATACGGATGCCTTATTGTTGTTGCCGTGGTGTGTGCGGCGCCCCACATCCCCACCGGCCAGCAGACCACCCTGCCTGCTGCTGCTGAGCCGACGCATCGGTACCACACGCGGAGCAAGAAGCGCAAAGTGTCCTGATCGAAGGTGCAAGCAGAAGCAAGGAGAGCAATCCGTCGATCGACGCGCCCATCACCGTTGCCGTCTCACCACTGCCTGAGGAAAGGACCAGCCCGCAGCAGCAAACGATCACGTTCACACGAAAACGAAAACAATCACTGAGCCGAAGTAAGTGCACATGGAATGCGTGCGGTGTGTGCCGTGCCATGTCAGCTAGACGTAAGCAGTGCAATGTAGGCACTCCCCCTCTCTGACACAAAATTGGCTGGTGTATGTCATGTGCAGCTTCAGTCCATTGGTCGTCATGCTTATCACATCCATGCTGAGCCTTCGCAGGGGAGACTCTACTTCCGGGCAAGTGCAACACGACGCGACACCTATCTATTGATTGAACATTTTAATGGGGTGGGATCGATGTGTATATATGTGTGTACAGATCGACTGCGCGCACCGCATTCTCCATAACAAGAGCTCGCTCTTCGAAGAGAGCTGCTCGATGGGACGCTCACGGGAGCAGGTGCGGCACATTATGACATCTCAAGTTCCGGCAGATGCAGGCAGATTTCGAGGCAAAAGAACAGTAACGACAGCCGAATTCTAGAAAAGGTTCTCGCTATGTTATGTCTCCCTGTTGTCCTTGTCGATGTAGACATGTCGATTGCTGCCTACATTTTATATTCTGATGAGTGGATTTCCCTCCCACTGACACGTCCTGACTGAGAGAACCACCTTTGCCACCAGAGAAGCGTTTCATCGCTGTGAGGACGGGCTATACGGTGGCCCAATTGCGGTGTCCGGCTGCCCAATCGCCGTGTTTGCGTGATCAGGTCGAGTGGATCGCGCGCCGCATTCGCCGGCATCGTCAGAATCAGCTAATCTCCGCCTGATTTGACGAGTCTGCGCCCGCTCCGTCCCCCCCGCCCCTCCCCCTCACAAAAGAAAAAAAAACATCCGCCGGTCCGGAGCCGCCGGCAGGAGTACTGAGGCGCCATGCCGCCCTCAGATGGCTTCCGAATAGCCAACAGGATGGAGTTTGCGGCACCAACCCTGCCACCACGCCCGTCCCCACAAACGCCATCATTGTGAGGACGGGCTATACGGTGGCGGGGCTGTCATTCCGGGACCATAGGGATTGCTATAGGTGGGTCATTCACTTCTCGGCCCGCCACCATTACAGCAACACACACGTGGTAAGTTGTGAATGAGCAGATAGCAGTGCATCCATCCATCCAATATGCACAGACGAGTACGTGCAGCCATCGACGCGTAATGGATGTGTTTGTTGTGTCTCTTGGTCCCTGCAGACCCTCCGTCTGGACTACTACCTGCCGCATATCATAGACTATCTTAACTTCACGGGTGACGTCATCCACACACGCGCCGACTACAACTACGAGTGAGCAGATGCCTCCACAGATCCATACGTGTGTGAATGCATGATGGGTGTGTCTGGTGTGTTTTACCTTCCTGCCTGTCTGCAGATGGATATTCATACGCGGTTGGTGACGATATGGGGCCCGCAGCCCTGCCCCGAGCTGCGGGTCCGGCTGTATGTGTGGTTACGATCGCTGTCTGCATTTTATATCCATCGGATCGTGGACTACATCGATCTCGCTGTGCACGTATCAGTGATAACCTCGCGCTGCCGGCACCCCCAGACGAGCTGTTCAAGATCATCAGGCTGAGCCTTCAGGAGCGGGAGGGGGGGCGTTGCCTGCGTTTCATGTGCCTACCGACGGTAGCTGCTATCGATCTCTCTGATCTTTTTCAAGCCGGGATTATTCGAGGTCTGGCTGTTTGGACAGAAGGCGACGCTCGGCCGGCGGACGCCGTTCTCGCTCTTTACCGGCTCGCCAGCAGGTGGGTGGGTGGATTGACGACACAAACACACACACGGAGACCTGCGTATCTACCTGTGCATCATGATGTTTGTCTTGTCGGTATACAGATTCCATCCGTGTCTTTCATCACGGGTCGACAGGGGCAGCAATGAACTCGTCAAGTAAGTCGCCCAGACTGACAGGAGAGACATGCAGATGGACGGACGGAGAGGCATCTGTATGTCTCTCCTGTCAGTGTGTGTGTGTGTGTGTGTGCGTTGCGTGTAGTGGTTCCGCGGCCGCCATAATATTGTGGTCGCACCACCCGAGGTGCCCGGCGAGGCTGATCATGACATATTGCGGCCGCTGGTGGACAAGCTGCCAGAGATGAAGGAGCAGGACTGGTGGGTGGTGTTTGCTGGTGACCCCCGCAGCACAGCAGTCAGTGACGGTACGCAAGGGCGGCAACAGATGATTTGCATGGCGTCGATTCCTGGATGTGTGCACAAGTCATCTGTACTGTACAGATTGTGCACAAGTGGTCTCCCACAATCAACCTCCTGCGTGTCTCGTATCCGCCCAAGGTGCTAGCCTGGCTACAAGACCACTACAACACACCACGCGGTAAGCGCGAGTGGTGGATATAAGGGAGCAAGGCAATGCGTAGTATCGTATGAATCCATGTTTGTTTCTATAGGTCCTGCCGTGGCGGCTGGTGTCTGCGCCGGTGGCATTGGCTCGCCGGACCCGGGACGAAATCTTGGTGCCACAGGGTCTCAAGCCGCAGGAGTACCTCCCTTTCTTTGGCGCCATGTACGAACGTAGCCGACAGCCCGGCGCGAGTGACTGGTACACTCAGGTACGCCACAAAAAGGGGGAAGAGATCTGCCGGCAAGTGCCCGAGTGGTACACTTTTGGTTGTTTTCTCAGGCGGCCGAGTGCCTCGTTCAGGGCGGGTTTGCCATCGGGGATCCGGAGGTGTGGAGGACAATGCTCGCCAGGCGTGTGCTGCGGCAGTGGCATGGTGTGGTGCGTGATGCTGTCGGCAATCCACGGCCTCTCTGGCCTCTGTCGATGACCCAACGAGGCGGCTGCCAGAGCGAACGAGATGCCCTCGAGAAACATTAAGGTCAGACAGGCAGGAATCTTGATGGTCTCTCCATCTGCTGGATTCATCTCCCTTCTTTTGTTTGTTTGTTCAGCAGATTTCACACGCGCTGGCCCCTGACCGACCATTCCCCCCACCCCCCACCCCCCTCGGCCGACCACATGACGCCACCCCCTCCTCTCCTGCCTCCAATCGCCCTCCTGCCTCCTCCAGTGGGACCAGAAGTGAGCAACTTCATTGCTGATACCGCTCAAGCGACTGGTGAGGCAGTGATGACAGTAGAGAGAGAGTACTCACCGCTGCAGGTGCGTGTCTGTGTGTGGCAATCGATGTCTGGCGAACAATTGCTGGCTGCATTTTATATCGTCAAGTCGTGTATCAGACCGATGTGCCTCTTCGGTGCTGAGTTGCATACATTCAAGTTTGTCCGCAAGGAACATTGAGCACTGCCGAGGGTCTTAAGGAATAGGCTCAAAGCCCACACACAAAAACACACCGACACCACTTTGGCACCACACATGAAACCACATCACGGCACTCGCCTTCAGTCTTCGGACTCTCTTGGACGCCCAGCAAGCCATCCCAACCAAGCAGGCAAATGTCTGTTGCCCGTCTCTTCGTTTATGGTCTCGAGGACCACAATCAATCGCCTTGTCTTCTTGCCCTTGGCCTTCAGACGGGAAGGAGAGGAACACAGACATGTACACGTGTCCCCTGCTTCTCTCCCGGTCCTACCCAGCTTGTGTCGGCGGAAGCGACCATTTCTGTTGTCTCTGCTGCTGTCGCTGTGGCAGTTGCTTGGACGGCTTGCGTGCGACACTAGGTCGGCCGCCTGGGCCACGAGGGCTCTTGGACCCTCCGCCGCCACGACGGCTGCCGCGCCCATTGCCGCCGCTACGAGCACGAGGAGAACGGCCAGCCGGCTGGAGCTTCATACCGCCTGAAAGACCAACAGGGGGTGTGCTCAATCTGTCGTTGCTCTGCCTCCCCTCCCCTCGTCTCTCGTGTGTGTTGGTGCTACGTTGCCTACCTCCCTGTTGGGTGTTCGGTCCTCCCGTCTGCTGATGCTGCTGTTTCTCGATGCGGAGCAGCTCGTATCTTACCCCTTCCCAAGTCAGCGGTACCCCTCCTGTGGCTGGCAGCCTCTGCATTGTGCCAAAGCAGACAGACAGCACAATGACACAGCACGTTTCCTAGTGATGCTCCTTACCCTGTCGGTGGCTCGCTGCCGTGTGAGGCCGGCCGGAGTGGACATCGGGCGTCTTTGGCGGTGCACGTGGGGAGAGGCGATGTTGGCAGCGCGGCTGCGACGGCCGCGCTCTCTTTCCTTTCTGCATCACAAACAGCGTGAAGGGCATGCATCCTTGCGTCGTCCGTCCTCTTGCCTACAGGGGTCGCAGCCTCGTGTGCTCTCCGGGGAGCGTATTCATGAGGGCGGTGGGGCAGCACTCTGTAGTATTTGCGCTGGGAGCTTCCCCTCCCGTCTCACTAGGACTCAGATGAGCACGGCAGCAGCCTTCATGGGCACGTGCAATGGGAAAAAACCTCAGCTCCGCGGTCGCAGGGTTTCAAGCCCTGCGAGCTTAGACGTGCACACAGATCGGACGATGCGCCTCTCTTGCTGACGACCCATGTACCCGCCCTTCTGATGGCATTTTCCGGCAGAGCTGGAGGCCAGCAGGCCTTCCCAGCATCCCATTCGCTGGCCAGGCTGCAAGCATTCGTCGAGAGTTTGCAGGCGGGGAGGAATGCGGTGAGCAGCGCTGCGGCGGAGAAGCTTGAGGTGGCAGTGTCCCTGCTGACCATGCCAGGGACGCTCTCCCTCGAACAAGTGAGATCTGTGTGCTTCTATGGCCTTCCCGACGTCACGCCGCTGCGCAAGATTTACTGGATGAGTAAGTGAACATCACTCACAGCAGGGCAGAACACACAGGCAAACGCACGCACGGATTGATAGCATTCATGTATGTATCACTCTGTCCCTTCAGTTCTACTGGGTGTGCTCTCACCAGTAAGCCCAACACAAGAAGCTAACCGCCTCACTTTGCCTGCCTGTAATTCGTCTGTGTGTGTTTGTGCGGAAGCACACCGAGAGGTGGCCTGACGAGCTCAGGTCCACTCGTGACAAGTACGAGGGCTACATCAACGACTGCATAGACCCAAACATCATGCAGAAGGCACAAGTCGGCGGGCCCAGAGATGCCAACGCCGCCTCAGCCCACAGCATCAGGGAGGGCAGGGCATCGCTGTCCGAGTCCCGGCCAGCGAGCGACCATCCGCTCAACCGTGACCGCCAGGGAGCGTGGCATCGGCTGTTTGAGGGCAGCGAGCTGTTCGGCACCATTGTCAAGGATGTGTCAAGGACACGGTGAGGCCTGGCTGCCACACCACACCACACCGCATCCCATGACCTGGATGATGACATGCATTCTTTTGTGTCTGCAGCACGGATCTGGCATTCTTTCGAAGCGAGTCATGGTCACTGCCTGACTCCCAGGGGTCGGCCAACGGTGGATCTGACGCTGCTGCTGATGGGCACACCGCTGCAGGAACATCAGCAGCAGCGACGAGCAATGGTGCGGCGTCGGGGCCAGGTCCAGTGAGTTTCGTGGAGCGGCTGACCCGCCCCAGCAGCCATGTGGATAGGATGAGTAGGATTCTCTTCGTCTATGCCAGGTGGGTGGGGGGTTGCCTGGCGCACCGCACACCAACAGTCCTGGTTGCCCTGTGCTGTGTGTGGTCTGACTGACAGGCTGAACCCTGCTCTCGGCTACATACAGGGGATGAATGGTAGGTACGATTGATTGCGATTCCGTGGCGGAAACCGATACGGCTTGCAGGATTGAGTCGTAGACACAGGCAGTCTGTCTGTGTGTGCAGAGTTGCTGGCCGTCCTCTACTTCGTGGTGCACTCTGACCCCCTGGTCGGTCGGTATGCATTGCAATACTTGTGACGTGACTGACACCAACCAACGCCACGCATCCATTTATCATTGCGTGTATCTGTGTGTGTTGTGTCTGTGTGTGTGTGTGTGTTTGTCAGGCCCACGATGAGGACCCCCTGCTGCTGGAGGCCGAGGCCTTCTTCCTCTTCGTCACACTCATGGTGCACCAACGGGTGAATAAGCACAAGCAAACAACACAAGCTAGCACACCAGTTGGCCACCATGGCGACTGACTGCTGTGCGTGTGTATGTGTCGATATATCGGCACACATACAGGATTTCTTTCTGGCTCTCGACGGTCGCTCCTCGGCCACCCTCGACGACACGCTGGAGCAGTATGCCGGCCTGCTGCACCAGCGGGACCCGCAGCTCGCACAGCACCTCGACCACATGCACATCGAGCCGCACCTGTACATGTAAGTACGTGTGTGAGCACACAGATGGACGGGGGGCCCCTACAGGCCATCTGTGCGTATGTGTGTGTGGTACATTGTAGGCTGCGTTGGCTGCTGTTGGGTTTCTCACAGGACATGGAGCTCCCGAATGTGATAAGGATATGGGACACCATCCTGGCCGACAACCCCATAGCCATCCCAGACATCGACACATCACTCCAGACACTGCCTACGGCTTTCTACATCGCCGTGAGAAAGAGACACAGAGAGAGAACGAAACACATGACATAATACAGACCGCTCCACTGCACGTGATAATGGTGCGTGATGTGTGTGTGTGTGTGTGTGTGTGTGCATGTGTGTGTGTGCAGGTGGCTGTGTTGCGTGTGCCTGAGCTGCGGTCCCAGCTGCTGAGTCTCCATGACAGAGGTGAAGGGAACGGGCCAAAATGACAAACTACCAGCGAGCCGGTCACCCCTCATTTGTCTCGTCTGTGTGTGGTGTGCCTCTCTCTGTGTGCGGCAGAGGAGGTGCTCAGGGTAAAGCTCTAACACACACACACACACACACACACACAAGCTCCCGGTGTACCGTCTGCCTGCCTGCCTGTCTGTCTGTGTGTGTGCAGACGATTCAGCACTTCCCGATGCACGACATTCAGCAGATCCTCAGCGAGGCCACGCAGATCAGGTCGGACGACATTGTGGCCCGCAGGGAGCGGCACGACAGACGACAGCAGTATCCACGCAATCTGGAGAGGCGGCCCACGTGGGAGAAGGCCAAACGCGTCGGGGAGAAGATTATCGGCACCCTGTTCCGCGGCTAGATAGATGTGTTTAGGAGTGTGTCGGTGGTCGGACGTCTGTGTGTTTGGTTTGTGTGGGTGGGTAACTCTTGATTGATGATGTATTGGCTGGTTCTTTGTGTGTGTAAGCAGCATTACTTGGTGAGTAATACTCAATTTCGTCCATCTGACGTGTCCGTTTTAACTTAGCCACCTACTTACGCATCACACGCGTCACACACATAAGTTAACCACCGTCCATTTCACCCGGTCACACACGATACCGACGCCCACACAGACACCGACAAATCGGTCGTTCGCCAATCGTCACGGCGTGACCATTTTGTGTGGGCAACTGAGAAGAACACACCAATGGCGCGTATGCAGGAAATCCCTGAGGGAAAGACCCGAAAAAGAGCAGAAGGGACCGAAAGGGATTTCCCTCCAGCAGGACGCATCCAGCAAAGCTAAAGACACCGAAAAAGAGCCATGGCCGCAGATGTTCTCAGACACTTCACAGATGCCCTCATTCCCTAAGACCAATCGAACTGCATATGTACTGCACAGGGAGTGATTCGTGTGTGGCAACCAAAAGGAATACATTAAGACGATGGATGGACGGATGCAGCAAAGACAAACCACACACTGCATACACCGACAGCCCAAAAAAGCCCTCACGTCCCAGTGAGCCGTAGTCGCCCAGACATTCCCACGCCCAGCAAGAGACCTCCTCCCCCGCCCCCCTCCCCCCAACTGCCTTAGTGTACAGGAAGTGACCGGGCGGCCCATCCCACCCATCCCCCAAGAAGGTGATTGAGCTCGATCACCGCTCTGACCGGCAAGCCAATGAATACCCACAGGCCGGGGGGCGGCGGAACCTGCTGTGGCATGTCTCACCTTCGACGCCCACCTCGCCTCTTCTCCCTCGCCCTCTTCTGTCGTCGCTGCTGCTGTGTTTGTTGCCGAGCCACAGACGGAGAAGGATGCCCTTGTGCAGAGTGATACCGTAGGTCTCGCTGTCCCGTATCAGCGCAACGCCGTCCGGTCCGAACACCACATCCCACTGGCCGACTCTGACCGTGTCAGATGAGTCACCACAGGGTGGCGATGGCGATGGGAAACGGCCCGTCGGCAGCGGAGATGAGCAGGGCGTCGGGAACGATGCTGCTGCTGCTGCTGCTGCACTCCTGCGGCCGATGGCGTCTCGCTGTTCTCTCTCCTCCTTCTCGTTCCACAACAGAAGGCTCAACGAACCGCTTGGCAGACCACCCAGTCCGCCCACACCGACATTGGCGGTCCTCAACACACCAAAGGGCGGCACCGGGAACATCGTAGACCGCATTGCCTCCACATCAAGGTCGCCATGCCAGTCGTCGTCCTCACTCTCCTCGTCCCTATCCCTTTCCTTCCGCCGCAGCTCATGACTGATGCGGTAGGTCGCGAGTGGACAGGGCCTTAAGCTGCGGCCGGCAAGGGAGCTGGGTGGCGACTCTGATGGATTGAATGGGCCACTGGGCGAGAAGGGGCGGGCGGGTGTCGACGGAGAGACTGGATCTGGCTGAATGGAGCGGTCTGCACAGCCTGGCGGGGGGTGGTGTCGCTGTCGCGATGCGCTCGACGGACGACAACGGCCTGCATCACAGCAATAACGAGGAGCACTCATGTGCCTTTCCTCTGCATCTGTGTTTCTTACTCGTTTGCATCGCGGCCATGGGGGCCTTTCCTGTCTTGTCGGCCGCCTCCTTGTCCGTGTCCATTCATTCATCGCCCCCGGCCTTATGGGGCTCCTCCCTCTCTGACCCATCGGCAGCGCTTTCAGCTCCCCCACTGCGGTCGTTTGCGCATCTCGCCCCTTCCCTGGTCTTACGCACGGCTGACGGCGGCCCCAGACCGACGGGCGACAGGAGTCTGACGGTCTTGACGGCTTTGATGGCGAAGTATCGGACCAGGTGGCAGAGCTGCAGGATGTTCTGCATGGTCAGCATAGACGCGTCTATCGTTGGTGTTGGTCCTGATGCTGATGGCGATGTCGCCCTTGTCGTCATCCACGTGCCCGTCCTCCTCCTTTTTATCACACTGGCAGGGGCTGGCGTCTAATGGCAGAGTAGGGATGGGCGGGACGGCGGGACTGCATCCAGCGGTGAGATAATCTCAGAGATGGGCTGCGGGTGCCTTGATGATGGCCCTCGGGGTGGGGAAAGAGGCGACAGGGGACGTGCTGTGGGAGGGGAAGATGCGGAAAGCTGTGGGGGACCACACAGAGACACCGAACTCAGCTCCCCGACTGCCAGAGATGGAACAGGGTGCGGTTCAGGTGGCTGCAGCTCCCCCGCACCGACAGAAGCCCTCCGGCTGACCTCAGTCAGCCGCAGCAGATGCGCTGCCAGAAGGTACGCTCCGGCTTCACGCGGCGACGGGAGCTGTTGCGCGACAGAGAGGGAGGGGTGCAAGGAGGGGTGGCGGGCGGAGTGGAGATGGGCGTTCCAAAGGGGGAGATGGACGAGTGGGCAGGAGGGGCCCAAGGGGCGGGGCACAAACGCGACGGCTCCCACAGCGGCACAAACCAACCAACCGGCCTGTCGTTTATGCCGGGTTCTGAAAGGTAGGCAACCAGCGGTGGGGGAGGAATGGGCCTCTCGAGAGTCGGCTCAGCTTGAATATGAACTGGGGGGGATTGAGAAATAGACTAGAGCATGATGCGTAAAACAAACACGACTGAGCGATCGAGTCAGGTGCCGCAAGAATAGCTCACCTGCAGGCCCGCGCGATTGCTTCGTTTCCCTCGGTGGCTGGCTGGTCTGAATCTGTGTCAAGATGGGTGATACCTTCCCGCAGTGTCGGGACGCATGCGCAGCGTGCAGTTGTGGAGAGGAGGACGAGGATGCTTTGCGCCGGCGCCTTCAGCGGCAGGTCTGGAGGGTGCGGCTCAGCGGGCAGCCACCGTAGCGCGGCCGAGTCCGCTTTTCGCGGGATGCAAACCTGAACACGCTGAAGCTCTGGGCAGAGGTGCTGGACGGGACGCTCACGGGCCCAAAGGCGGCGCGTTATGTCATACTCAACGATGCCGACCCTTCGGAGCCCTTGTTCTTTCTCGGTCGCCGCATGAGGCTGATCAACGTGGTCACGCGGTCCTCGCTGGCGGACGCCCCGGCTATCGTCCACGCACTCCTAGCGAGAATGGGGTCTGAAGAGGCGCTCAGGGGCGACCCCTGCCCCTTGAGGGATGCCATCATCTGCGGCAAATACGACATTGCCCACATCATGCTCAACTACATCATGGACAGCAGCGTCGACGACCCTTCGTCGGAGCTGGCACAGCTGAAGCTGCTCTTCGATGTAGAGCGGCACAACCCCGGCATGCATTCCATCGTCAAGCTGTCAATGGTGAGCCGCCTGGTCGAGCTGGGGCCCGACCAGCTCCGCCAGCGTGACGCCAATCGTCGGCTGCCCATCCACGAATTCTGCCTTTACCCGCTGAGGACCAACGCGACCCAGGAGGTGCTCATCGACCTGCTGGTGAGGAGGGGCTCCACCTCTACCCTCAACACAACCGACACGACGGGAGCCACGCCCCTGCAGCTCGCCAGCCTAGCCAACGCCGATGGGCTGCTCCGCGGGCTGCTCAAGAACGGGGTGGACCTGCGAATGGCGCGGGTGCCCTACGGCAGCTGGATGGGGCGGGATGGCTGGATGCAGCGTGCCGTGGAAGCCCACCTGGACTACATCCGCCAGGACCTCCCCGACCTCATCATGCGCTGCATCAACCGCTCCATGCGGCCGCTTCGGTCCCTGCGGGCGGTGAGCAGGGGCGGATTTTTCCAAATGCTTCAAGTGCCCGGCCTCATCGCCGAGATCGCCCGCTACGCGTGCAGCCCCATCCCACTCCGCCTGCCCGCCACTCTCCGACAGCGTATCGAACGCGTCATGAAGCTGTTCGTCGAGGAAGCCATCGCCATGACGCTGAGAGCGGAGCCCGGCGCGCGCGTCAATGTCTTGTCGACTCGTTTCACGCTCACATCGCTGGGGATGTGGGGCGCTATGAGGGAGGAGGCGCCGCGGGTGAAGAGCGGCTTTGGTGCGCGGATGAGGCTGAAGGAGGTGGTGGAGATGGCGGTCAGAGAGGAGGCGGCACGGTGGGGCGAGACAGTGCCGGTGCAGCTGCCGTGGAGCCGCTTGCAGGTCGACCGCTCGTGGTGGCGTGGGATGTGGTGAGGTGTGTGGAGCTGAATGGATGGGTGGATTGAATCGGCAAGTGCAGTGGGTCTGTCTGTGTGGTGGGTGGGTGGGTGGGTGGGTAGGTGACTGTGTCGGTCGTTAGCTGTGATTCGGCTGTCGGTGGTATCGTGTGTGCCGTGCAAGTGCCCATGATTTGTGAGTTGACACTTTCAAGACTGCTCAACACATTGGTTGAATCGGATGGGAGAGATGACGTGTCCGTTTTAACTTAGCCACCTACTTACGCATCACACGCGTCACACACATAAGTTCACCAGCATCCATCTCACCCGTCTCACGCAACCACAGGCAACAAATGAAGACCTCTCAGAGGCACACACAGCCACACAACCTTCCACACACATGGATGCAGCCAGGGTCCGGTCAGCCACACACGCACCACTGAGCCTACCACGTTTAACCATGTGGGCCTCTCGTGAGCCACAGGCAGCGGTGAGGGCCCACAGAAAATCAGAGGCCAGCCAAGGCGGCGGAGCCTGCTGGGATCGGCGATCGGCGGACTGGGTCAGGTAAAGTAAGTAGATACAGACGCACTGCTACTCAGCCAGTGAGACAAACAACCAGACAAGCAGGCAGGCAGGCACCATCGAAGCAGCCACCGTAATGCGAAAGGCCCGCGCAACCTTCCAACCTGCCCTCTCCCCTTCTCCCTCTCCACCCGGCTACCTACTCACGCATATGTGTATGTGTGTGTGTGTGTCTGAGTGTGTCGAACTATCTATCTATCGGCGTCTGTCGTATTCGTCATAGTAGTTGCCCTGGTCGGGCTGCCACCGGTCCATCCGCTGACCCCCAACGCCTTCGCCGTCCACCTGCATGTCCATGTCCATGTCCCCCTCCTGGCCCTGGTGCTGCTGGTGCTGGTGCTGGGAGTGGTGGCGCATCCGCTGCGCCAGCAGCTCGTCCTCCTTCTCCTGCTGCCGCAAGTAGACCGCCGGCAGGTCGATCACCTGCAGCTGCTGCTCCTTCATCGGGTTGGGAATGTGATCCAGCTGCGCCATTATCTTGATCTTGGTCCTGACACACATACATACACACACACACACAGAGAGAGAGATGGGAGATAGGGGGTGAGTGTCAGGAGTGTGGTGTGTGTTATGGTGCTGTGGCGGCTGCTCACATCATCTCCCATTCGTCCTCGGTATAGTGTCGGGGTGCATTGGAGGGCTTCTCGATCGGCCGACGGTCGAGGTCGCCCGACGCACGTGACGGGCTCACACGCGCACGCTCGCCCCCTTCCCCACCCCCTGCCCCTCCCCCGGGCCCACGAGGCGTCCCCCCCGCACGTGAGTCGATGCCGCCCACCAGGTCCTCGTCGTACCGAGCACGTGACGGCTGCGACGACTCAAACCCACTACCAGCCGGCCCCTGCGGCGGCATCATGCTGCGATCCTCGTGGTACACCGGCCCGTTCGGACCCATCTCTCCCCCTACCCCTCCCCCTCTGCCGCGGCCACCACCACCACCACTGCCACGCCCACCCTTGGGTCGCAGGCGGACCACCTGCCGACCGGGTGGTCCCCTGCCGCTGTCGTCCCTGGGGTTGAGGACGGGAGGGCCGATGGGTGCGGGCTGAATGTCGGGAGGGAAGAATGCAGGCTCTGGGTGTGGGTGTGGGTGTCGGTGTGGTGGGGCGATGACGGGTGGCTGTTGCGGCCGGAAGACGGCAGCCGGGTTGGGCCGGAGGACCGGCCCTGGAGGGGCCATGTGAGGAGGAGGAGGTCGTGCCATGTTAGGAATGAACACGACCGCGCGACTGGCGGGGTTGGGAACGAGCTGAACGTGGTGAGCATCACCCTGATTGATGTACACATCAGATCAGACACACCACAACACCATCGCTGACATGAATGCATCGACTCCCTTGCTGCTTGTTGCTTCTTGCTTACTTACCTTCTGGATGGTGCCCATGCGATTCACCCGCCTCCCACCGAAGCCCTCATTGGCCGGCCGAGCAGGTCGAATAGGCGGCGACGGAATGACGGCCATGACAGGACCGCCACCACCGCCACCGCCAGGCTGCCCACCACCCCCTCCCCCTCGCCCGCCGCCCTGCTGCTGTGACTGTTGCTGTTGCTTGGACGGCTTGAGTGCTACACCAGGTCGGCCGCCTGGGCCATGAGGGCTCTTGGACCCTCCGCCGCCACGACGGTTGCCGCGCCCATTGCCGCCGCTACGAGCACGAGGAGAGCGGCCAGCCGGCTGGAGCTCCACACCGCCTGAAGAGACCAACAGGGGGTGTGCGCCTGTCGTTGCTCTGCCTCCCCTCCCCTCCCCTCCTCCTTCGTGTGTGTTGGTGCTACGTTGCCTACCTCCCTGTTGGGTGTTCGGTCCTCCCGTCTGCTGATGCTGCTGCTGGTTTTTCTTGGTGGTGATCTTCTTCTTTGGCTGCTGCTGCTGGACGTTTCCCTGTATCTCCATCTGGCCGCTCGCAGGGGCACTCTGACGTCTCTCCTGCCGCCCGCCGCCTCCCTTGCCCTTGGCCTTGGCCTTGGCGCGGCCGGAGCGTTCTGGTGTGGGCTCATTGGCGGTTGACGCGGCGTTGATGACGTCATCGAGGGACATCGACAGCTTCTGATCAATCGACATCGACATCCTGCCGTACTACCTACGTGGACCGGCCCGCAGGCCCTCAACAAGCGAATCCCTGGAGCTTCCGAATTGAAGGGTTCGAAACCCTGAAAACCTTCTCAGCTTGCGCCGAGCGCTTTTCTGCTCTGGCTTCTGAGGCGTGTTCATTTCGGCTTGATGCCGTTGTCGGAGCCCGTGGGCACCTTGTCGTGCATTCATCCGCCGGAGTTCCAGGTCCTCGTGCTGCCAAACCTCAACGTGAGGGCCCTCGCACACGCACGGAGCGTGTGCCGTGCGCTGCTGAAGGAGGTGGTCACCGACGCCGAGATAGACCGCAGGCTGTCGGCGACCGATTCCGACCCCGATAGGCAGCTGAGCTTCGATGTGAATGGCCGCGACAACAAGCTGTTTGTGCTGTATCGGCTGCTGAGGGATGGCGGCGAGTGGTCAGGCTGGGGCGAACTGCTCAGGGTGCTGCACGGAACAGGTGTGCAATCGCAGGTGTGAAGCCAACACCCAGACAAGGCAGAGTCAGACAGACAAGACGCGCATCGCATCTCTCTCTCGTCATGGATGGTGTGTGTGTGTGTGGTGCAGGGGAGGTGGAGCTGCCGTTGGTGTTTGGTGATGAGGATGTGTCGCGGCCTGAGATCAGGGGTCTCTTTGCTGAGGCGAGGGGGGACCACGCCGGCCTGGAGAGGGCGCAGCAGGAGCTGCTCAGGCGCAAGATCAATGCACTCAACACAAACAGCAACAGAGATCGCAACCTCTGGTCAGTGAGGGGGAGGGAAGGACTTGATAGCGCTTGGTGTGGTATGCATGTCTGTCTCTGTCTGTCTGTCGTCTGTCTGTCTGTCTGTCTGCAGGTTTTACATCGGTTTCTTCTGCATCGGTCGGGATAGGCGGCATTGTCAGCACTCGCGATGCGGCGCCATCGATGTAGGCAACAAACAGGGCCACGACTGACGTGTACCTGTGCTGTGTCTGTCTGTCTGTCTGTTTACAGATATACCGTCGCGATGCGGGCCATGCCGATTTAGGCATGGCCATGAGGTGCCACCTGCTGTCGCACTTCGGACGGCCACTCGTCGAGCTAGAGGTACACACACACACACCACACACACAACAGAAGAGCCATTGGTGTACGTGTGGGCTCGTGATATTGGTTGGCTGATGCAGGGCCGCAACTATGCGTGGGCATTCGGCACGCGGGGCGACTTTTGGCTGATCCGCCTGTACGCCACACCCACACGGACGTACGTGGAGCTCATCAACGTGCTCTCACCCGAACGATGGCCCTCCTCACCTCTCTCATTCGGCGACCCCGCAGTAGGCACTGCACTCACCCAGGGAAACACACACATGGACAGACGCACACACACACACGTTGTTTGTGCCCACCTACCATCCCAGGTGCCGTGCATCGAGTCGCCGAATGTGGCAGATCGGCTGCAGCGTGCCATGCCGCACCTGAGCGGCCCCCAACTGCCCCCGTGTGTGGTGCGGCTGTACGGGTGGGCTGAGACCTATGTGCGTGAGCACGCAGCGGCCCACATCGACATGGGCCGGACCTTCTTGCGGTTCTGGGCCAGGCGGAAAACCGAATTACAGCAAGGGGAGGGCGGTGCGTGAATCTGTCTGTCTCTCTTTTTCGTGACGAGTGACGATTGGTGGAGGGGGGAGGGAGGGGAGCAGAGCAGTGGGCTGCCATGCCATGCCCCCCGTGTATAGCTTGGCTGCGTGTGGGCTGCCCAACAGCGTGTGTGTACAGCTCAGCAGGGCGGGGTGTGTGTAACAGTGGAGACGACAGCAAGCGACCAGATTGTTGCTTGATCATGCTGTCTCTTACTCTGTCTGTCTGTCGGCGCGTGTCTGTGCCTGCCTGCTTCCCGTTGACTGTGGTGGTAGTGTAATTGACAATGACATGAATGGTCTGCCTGCCTGTCTGTCTGTCTGTCTGTCTGTGGACAGGAGCCATCGGAGCCACCTTTTTGGTCTGTTGGCTGCTGGTCGCTGTTGTCGGGGGGTGTATGTGCATGTGTGTGTGTGTGTGTGTGTATATCCTGTCTGTCCCTCCCGTCGTTGTTGCGTTGCCTTGCTTTCTCGGCATTCATTCTCAGTGAGAAGAGGGCCGGTGTAGAATATGCATCTCTATGAGTGAATGAGTGAGTGGATGGATGAGTGTGTGTGTGTGTGTGCGTGTGTGTGAGAATTCATCCTCCCTTGCTTCCTTGGTTCCTTTCTGTGTTCTGTTCGTGAGGCGGGCACTGCCTGCTATGGGGTCAGTCAGGGCTTTTTGATGCCCTGCCCGCCTGCCTGTGTGCTCTTTTTGTCTGTTCCTTCCTTCGTTGGTCTCTCTCGATGACTGACTTCATGGGAGTGTGTGCATGTCATGTCGGTGGGATTTGTCCGCTCGTGCTTGACTCGTGTGCGTGGGTGGTGCTATTGCTCAAAGCCGTAGGATCTGAGCGCTGATGCGGACGGGATTCCTCACCCGACACGTGCAATGAATTCGATCAAGCTCGCTGCACCGCCGTCTTTCGCTGGGTGATCTGATCTGATCTGCTGACGGCCTCGTCAAGAGATGCCTCGGTGTCTGGCAACAGAGCTCCTGTTTGACCTAGATGAGATCCAGCCGAGGCCAGCATACGACGGCAAGGTGTTCTGCAGACAGCCACATGGCACAGATCTGCTGCTGCTGGGCAAGGATGACGCCAACATGACGCTCCACGGCGATGGTGGTGTGCTGGCGGTGCCTGGGATTGGGCGATGGTTCAAGAAGCAAGAGACAAACACGACGGTGAGGGCAAAGGGACAGTCAGACAGTCAGACAGACAGACAGAATGGTCTCCGGCTGTGTGTGATGCTTGTGTGTATGCAGTGTGCCATTGCCTCTCTCGCGCTCACGGTATCCGCGGGCAGGCCTCGGGCTGCTGCAAGGAAGAAAGCCATGATTTGCGTGTCTGTGTGTGCGGGTGTGTGTGCCTGCTGCAGGCAGGTGTGGCCCATGGCGACGCTCTCATATCCGAGTCGTCCCTTGTCGAGCGCCTGGCGCCCCTCCTGCCCTCCGACCTGGCCACAAAGGGCATGACCCTCCAGCAGCTGGTGCCTCTCGTAGACGCTGCCGGCCTCCGCCCGTCGACACACTTGGCCTCTGACAGCTCAGTGGAGGCCTTCCGGGATGCGTGCTGCGCGTCGCTGCGGCGGGGGGTGCCGGTCATCGTCAACTATGATATGACCTGCCTGGGGCAAGAAGGGGTCAGTGCGACTGCACCACGGGCGCAGGAATGCGTGTATGTCTGTCTGTCTGTCTGTGTGCTTGCGTGCAGGTGGGTGGCCATTTCTCGGTGGTGGGTGCGTATGCGCCGAGCTGCGATCGTTTCCTTTTGCTCGATGTGTGGCCGGAGACGCCTCTCGTGTGGGCGACGGCAAGTCAGCTGTATGCTGCCATGGACACCATCGATGGCGATAGCGCCAGGAGCAGGGGATTCATCATTGTCGAGCGGAAGGATGGGCCAGGCAGGCAGTCAGATTGAGCGCTCCTGCGTTTTGTGACGACAAGGCGACAGAGGCCGTCAGATCTGTGTGAGGTTGTGGATAGGGCTTCTGCTGTGCGTCTACTTGATGAGCAGCATGAGCAGATGGATGGATGGATGGATGCAGGGGACATGGCTCCGATCAACGCAATGATGCAGAGCGAATGCGGCCATTGAAACTGACACTCCACACTGTTTTCAACCATCAACTCTCGAGTCTATGTACAAGTCCAGCAGGCAGGCAGGCAGGCAGGCACTAGCCACGCTCTAGTAGTCTGGTCCCTCCGTCATGGCACCCCTCCCTCCCTCCCTCCCTCCCTCTCTCTGCAGCTAAGCTATGCTACACATCAATCAACTAGTGATTGGCCGATGGGTATAGGGGGTGGGCGACCTGGCAGACACACATCGTCAGCACTGCATGAGCCCGTCCATTCAAGATAGCCACACACTGAGTACCTGTGGTCGTCTGTCAGGTGTCCAGGGGTTTCAGGATGAGCATGTTCTTCTGATATCCACCCCAGCTAATGGCATACCGCCCCTCCAGCCCCTCGATGGCGTCGCCATTGGTCCGCTCATTCACCAGCCGCTTGAAGGCCTCATTGGGGGTCGGCTGGAACCAAAGCTCCTTGATGCCTCGGATCTTGAGCAGCGACTTGACGCAGGCAATGCCGAACTCGCCGGCGGCATCGCCATCGCCCAAATCCTCAGGCACTGCACACAGACAGACAGACAGAACATCCAATGGGCTAGCGTGCGAGAGCTGCCGATTGGTTGTCTGTGAGGAGGCGATTGTTTGCAGCTCACCGTCTACACTAACATCCATTTTTGAGATGGCCGGCAGCTGGTCCGCCATGTCGCCCCACGTCAGCCCCCCCTCACCCGCACCCGACAGAAAGACAACTTCGAAGCGCTCCAAGTGTCTGCCCCGACCCAGCGCCTGCGCATGCCCACGGCCTGCTCCGAAGTCGGGTCGGCCCTGAGCTCAATCTCTGTGACCGCGGGCATCTTGTGCACTATCTTGCGCCCCATCACCTTGCCCTCCCTGCTGTTGACGATAAGGCGACGTGCGGCGGGGAATGCGTTGTGGGGCAGATGGTCGAGCACAACCGGGTCGGGCTGCACTTCCTCCTCGGGATACACCACATGGTCGTCCTCGGTGATCACCACATCGAGCACCTTGGTGAAGGTCAGCGACTCTGCGAGTGCGATGGCGGCGGGGCTGGGCGTGTCGAGAGGGGTGGTGAGATGGTGGGGGCGGATGGTGAAGAAGGCACCGAGCGATGCGGCCGCCATCTGCTGGATGTGCCTCTGGATGAAGGGGGAGGGCTCCGGGCGCGTAGGCACGTCGCACAGGAGGCTGAGGTCGAAGTACTCGGTCTCGTGCAAGTGCTCCTCGGAGAGGGTGATGCCGATGTCGACGGGGATGTCGGGCTTTACACACACGGTGCGTGTGAAGGTCTCGATCGCCGACAGGGTGGGGAAGATGCGCCTGTCGATGGGCTCCATCTCGAATTTGGCCTTGAACCGCTTGATGGACCGGCAGCCACGGTCGACAAGGGCGGTCTGCAGAAAGACACAGCCACAAGTGAGTCATGAGCAGTGCGAAGATTCTCTCTCTCTCTCTGTTTGCGTGTGGCTCGTCAGATACACACCTGGAGGCGGCCTAGTCCCTCACGCCACTCATCGAAGCTAATGAAATCATCCATCGCCACAAAGGTGAGCGTGCCGACATCCTCCAGCTGTGACAGG